GGAGGACAAATTGGACAACTACCACACCCACACGAAGAAAACAAAAATCTGGGTGAATGAAGACTCTAGAGTCAACTACACCAGCCAATGGACGTTGGAAGGATTTTCTCATTTTTGGATCAGCAAGACTGACAGCATTTCAGAACTCTCAAAACTACCTGAGCTGAACCCTTAAAACAAGCTCTACATCTGGACCCTGGGACACATCACATGGCTGTCCCCCACCCTCAGGTACTGGGCAGGTTGGGAGGCTAGGTGTGGCTTCTCCCCTTATCTCCCCCATCCCCCCCAGATACAGGAAGAAGACACAGAAAATCTGAAAACATGCTGAGTTCAGGACATGCAGACTACCTACAATACATTCCTCCAAGTACCTGCACTTTGTTAATGGCCTTCCTAAGCAGCAGGTGCAAAAGCAAGGTGTAATTATGACCAATGCACCTAAAAAACACATTCATGCTATCAATAAAAAAGATTAACATCTCTTGGAACAATTTTTAAATTACCACTGCCCATATTTCAAACAATCCAAGTTTCCCTCCCCACCATAAAGTTAATGAATTTCATTCCAATCCTCTTCAATCGAGTGCCTTCTGTGCATGAGCTGCCAGGTGTGAGGCCCTAACAGACGTCACAGGGAACCTGCTGCTAAAGCTACCGACTTACTCTCTGTACGTATACATCTGCTTTATCTATATGTATTAGAGGACTCAAACCATGCTTCCCATGATAGAGCTTCGACTACTTAAACTGAGGAAAACATGGCAAGGATACCGCGATCCCGCACTGCGTGTCTCCTCACCAGCTTCTCACTGATCTGAGAGTCACGCATGCTTGTAGAAAAAAGAATGAAGTCAGCCTAGGAAAGCTGCCCGCTTTCTGAAGAATGCTACTTGAGCAGATGCAGGATTTCCTAAAGGAGCAATGGTTTTAAATTCAGATCCAGAAGTCAGCAAGTTCCATAAAACAGTATTTTTAATTTCTTCCACTAACAGTTAATTTTAATAAGTTCAGAAATTATACTTTACCTACTTTAAAACAAATCATCAAAGCACCCACAATCACAATTGTGCCAAAAATCACAGAAAAATGAGTAAAACAAAGTGTGAGCACATTGTGGAAACGCCGCCACCGTGTGAACGTCACACTGCTGTCGCCAAGCTCCGGCGCCGAGGAGCTGCCCTGGTGCAGACGCTCACAGCACAGCAGAGAACATTCCGACCACAGTGCTGAGGAAACCACGCTGCCGCCCCTCTGAAAAGCCTACAGTTCGCACACCACACCAGGAACAGTCACCAACAGGCAAATCTCTCCTACTTCTTCCAGCTGAGTTTTGATGACCAAAAGTCTGACACGGTGCTTGATAAGATATTTGGTACAGCAGCTGGTAGGCAGATAACTTAATTGAATATTACACAAAATAATACATGAGAATTGCTTCCATGTAAAATGAATCAAAATTGAATCACTAGGAAAGGCTGTCACGTAATACTGGAGAACTATATAAGACTGAAAAATGAGGTAAAAATCCAGAACAATTCTGCATTCAAACTGCCTTACAGTCAAGGAGCAGGCAGTCAGCGCAGCAGCCGAACAGCATGGGCCACCTGCAGCCCAGAGCGCCCCCAGGAGGCAGCCGAACAGCACAGGCCACCTGCAGCCTAGGGTGCCCCCCAGGAGGCAGCAGGCCCAGGCTCCAAGACAATCCAGACTCATCTCCAGACTAGACGCCTGACTCAGCCCCAGTTGCAGCAAGCATTTTAGGAGTCAGTCAGTGGATGCAAGACCTCTCTCTCTGTCTCTGCCTCTTCCTTTCAAATTAACTGGCCGAGCCCCAGATGTTGTGACCAGCAGATGAAAGATCTCTTTCTGTCTCCCACTGCCAACCCCCTGCCTTTCAACAAACATAAATACCTCGTTCAAAAAAGTTAAAATGCTGAAATCATAAACAGCACAGTGTCTACGTTATATATCAAAAGACAAATTATCTGAACAGTGGATACATATTCAAAAAGCATTCGTGTAATGCTAAATTAAAGCACCGACAAGTTCTATTTGTTATAAAGTTAAAAACTTTACAGAAGCTGTGGGGCAGTATCATGGTGCAACGAATTAAGTCACTGCCTGCAACACCAGTAGAGTCCTGGCTGCTCCATTTCCAATAGGCCGCCCTGCTAATGCACTGAGAACATGTTTTGGCAGTGGGGGACTGGCGTGCACTGGCCCCTGCCACCTGCGTAGGATGCCTGGATGGTGTTGTCAGTTCCTGGTCCAGACTGGGCCAGCCCCAGCAGCTGCTCTAGGAAGAGATAGCAGAAGACGGGTCCAACTCTGTTTAAAAGCCCCATAATCGGCCCTGTTAAGATGGAAAAACTTCAGTACTTATAAGAAGGCAACAGTTGGGGGTCTGCAACAATGGCTCAACTGGCTAATCCTCTGCCAGTATCCCATATGGACACGAGTTCATGTCCCACTGTTCCACTTCCCATCCAGCTCCCTGCTAATGTGCCTGGGAAAGCAGAGAATGCAGCCCTAGGCATGGCCACCCACACACCTGTAGACCTGGGAGAAACCCCGGCTCCTGGCTTCAGACTGGGCCAGCCCCAACTGTTACAGCCACTTGGGGAACAAAGCAATGGATGGAAAATCTCTTTCTCCCTTCTCTCTCTCTGTAACTCTGCTTTTAAAACAAATAAATACATTTTAAAAAATACATATCACTTATGTGATCCCACAATACACTGAATGGATCTTGCAAAAGAGCTCTCTGGAAAGGGCATTTGGTTATAACCTATTTCACATTAATAACTGTGTAACATTTTCTTTCATCTGTTCAGTTTTTAACTTAAAGAATTAAAATTCTTGGATACTTACCATGATAGTCCAAAAAAAGAGCAGAATTACCATCTGACCATATTTCTCCACCAGAAAATTCAAGTTTAAATGTACTGTCTACATAAAGTAATCAGTATTAGAAAGAGAATATATTTCTATTGCATCAAAACCCTCAATGAAAAAATTCATGAATCAGTTTTTAAAACAAGCAATCTTTTTTTATAATGTTATCCACTACACTAATGCTAACAGACACACAACAAATAATTTGGTGTGACATACACCTCAAAATCGCCCCAGTCCTTGAACATGAAGGTGCAAGTCCAGTGTTGGCTCTAACTGAAGTGCTTGGATTAGCTGTTCAAGAAAGCATCAACCTGACGCATCAGGATGCCCCCTTCACTAACAATGAGCTTCCAACAGCCTAAAGGGTTTAGATTTATTTATTTTTAAAGCAAAGGCAGATATACAGAGAGGAGGAGAGACAGAAACAAATATCTTCGGTCAGGGGGTTCACTCCTCCAAGTGGCCAAGCAGAGCTCACTGGAAGCCAGGAGCCTCTTCCGGGTCTCCCACTGGGGGTGCAGGAGTTTTGGGCCATCCTCAACGGCTTTCCCAGGTCACAAGCAGGGAGCTGGAAGGACAGTGGAGCTGCCGGGACAGGGACCAGTGCCCAAATGGGATCCCAGCAGGTGCAAGGCAAGGATTTAGCCACTAGGCTGCTGCACATGGGCCCGTTTTAAGGTTTTATAACCTAACCTCACTTCAGCTGTTTACTGAATGAACACAGGTGTGAATCTATTGTCTACAACAGTGAATACATACAAATGTGTGTAAACCTATTTCAAATACTGATGCATTAAAGTACTTTATGTTCAGGACATCTTAAGTGTCCCTTAAAAGTTAAATACACTTATAATTATATTATTTTCTTCTTTCACTTCATTTTCTGCCTCATTCACAAAAAGCACGAGCCAGACGCCTCCCAGGTCCTGCCAGCTGGCCTGTGTCTGGTGACAAATCTGAAACGAGCCTTCGGGGCTATACCAGCACAGCCAGAGCCGACCCCTGGCATCGTTTAGTGGCATGTGTGAGCTTTCTGAGACACGCCCCAACGCAGGATAAACCCAGAGAATACAAATCTCACAGCATTTATCTGCACACCTCAAGGCATCATGGAAAACACGACAGGAACCTAACTCATCATGCATGTTTGTCAAAGAAGTGATACTTGGGAGAACTCGGGATGCCCGACAGCCCAACTGAAAAAAAAAAAAAAAAAAGTCCTGCATTTTCAACTCTCTAAGAAAGCAGCCTCCCGCACCTGCGTATGCTGTCTGCTTATTCATCCTAAGAGTCGAGGCTCTGGACACTGCTCAGTACCTACCACTTCACAACAGCTTAACTTTAAATCCAAGACAATCAGCACGGAAGAGCACCTTCTCTGTTCTCAAATCATCTGCCAACTCCCCACGGCATGCACATTCTCATCTAAACAAAGGGCAAACACGGACCATGCCAGTAACCGGAGACGGTCAGCCGTCGTGTCCTGTGTCCTAGCCCTAAGCCCGGGCTCCGCACGACGGGGCCGTGGGCGCTGCCCCGCAGTTACAACCCCGCGCCTGCCGCTCCTCCTGACTTCCAGCCAAACTTCCCCCGAACTCAAGGCTCTCTCGGGACCCGGAAAAAAAAAAAAAACCAAAAAACCCTCCCAGCCTATGTCCTCTGCGCCTCCGCCCACGCCCCGGAATTAATCCTCTCCAGCTCGTCCCCTGGGGATTCACATCTCTGCCGTCGGGATATTTCCATCCCTCCCCCTCCTTTACTACTCCGAAACGCCGGTTTTCTCCCAGTCACCAGGATACTGAGCCCGAGGAGGGAGACGGTGGACAACAAAAGCGCAGACGGCCGAGCCCCTGCTGCTCCCGTCCCACCCCCGTCCACCCCCGTCCACCCCCGTCCACCCCCTGTCCACCGTGCCCAGCAGGTGCCTCGCCGCGCCCAGGCCGTACTACCGGGCCCCCCGCACGGCCCTCCTCGTCCCCGGAGAGCAGGGAGGTGAGCGCGGACGCCGGCCCCACCCTGCCCACGGCGGGGCCTGGACCCTCGGCCGCTGCCCGCGCCCCCCGGCCGCCCCGCAGCCGCCCCCCGGGCCCGGCACTCACAGGCTGCCCGAGCAGGACGTGCACACGAAGGAGCCGACCGTCATGTTCACGTAGGTGGGGCCCCGCTGGTCGCAGTCGAAGCACTTGCGGTTGTGCGGGAGGCCCGTCATGTCCCGCAGCATCTTGAGGTGCTTCTCCTCCTGCTTCCGCTTGGCGCTGGCCGCCATGGCCGCGGCGCCCGAGGGAGGGAGGCCGGCGAGGGCCGGGAAGCGGGCGGCGCTGCGCCTGGGGGCCCGCGCTCCCCCCACGGGCCGCCCTGGCCGCCGCCCTGCGCCCGCCCGCCGCGGCTCGCCTCGACGGCGCTGGACGCGGCGCGGACGCGGCGGAGCGCGCGCTCACGGGCCGCACCGACCGGCCGGCCCGGGACAACCGCCGCCGCCGCCACCTTCCCGACTCGGCCGGGGAAGGGAAGGCGAGCGCGGGGGGAAGGCAAGAGGAGGCCCGCCCCGGGCGGCGAGTGGCCAAGTGCCGGCCCGCGCCCTCTGCTGGCCGGGAGGAGTCACTGCGGCCGCGCAGAGGCCTGGCTCCCGGCGGTCTCCCGGGGGGCTGAGGAGAAACGTGGCCGAGCGATTTTCTTAGCTTTTTGTTTGGTTTTTGGCACCAAGATTTACTTTTCCTTCCCATTGTTCATGAACTCTTTGAGGCCCTTTTATAATGTGTTAAGCGTGGGTCATCCTGCGCCCTCACGGCCCCCGGCGCGTTTCCCCTTCTGTTCTGGGGAGAATTCCACGTGGCTCATCGTGGCCTCAGAAGCACGCCATGGTTCAGCCCTGCCTCCTTCCTCCATCTTCCTTTACTCAGGCAAACACAGCCGACTCCTTCTGACTCCTGTTCTCTGTACCTCGGGATAGCGCAAGCTCGCCGCAGTGGACATTTTGCGGTGGAGGTTGCCCTGTGCGTTAGGTACGCGCAGCGTTTCTGCCCACTGCCAATAGTGTCTTCCCACAGAGGTAACTAAAATTCCCCGCAGACATTGCCACAAATGGAAAAGGGACTGGCGGAAGTAAAAGAATCACCTGCGTTGAGAAGCCCGCTACATCCCTGAGCAGACTTCCGGTCAGTCACAGGTGCGCGCTTTCTGCCACACTGTCCCACACGGACCTGGGGCTCGCTAAGTCATTCTGCAGCCAACTGGCTGTCTTCTCTCCCTCGTGCCTCTCATTTGCGATGTCGGGGCTCTCCCTCTGAGGTTCCAACCTGGCCCCTGCATTTTCTGCGCCACTGCACCCCATACCCCTCCCAGAGCTGCAGGCAGGGTGCTCCGTGGCTTCTGGAGCAAATGCACGAAGTAGCCTGATCTTCACTGCAACCTGGAGAGGTAGGCACGGTGGCTACTTCCACTTTGCCAAACAAAGCAATGCAGAAACCTCTCTCCCAAATGGATTCGGGGAGACCCTGAGCTGAGGGTCCAGACCCATCCTGCTGGCAAAGGGGAAGGCTGGAGTTGAAACCAGAGTTCCCGGTTGGTGAGCCAGCCTCCAGATCGCCTGTGAAAGCCACTGGATAAATATCCATATTAATACTATCAGTAATAATTAGCTTTTAATATTAAAACAACAGGGGTCAGTGAGCTGCAAATGGATTTGTATGAATTTTTTTTTAATTTATTTTCATTATTTTTGAAAAAGAGATCTCCCATGTGCTGGTTTGTTCAGCTCGTTCTCCAGATGTTCAGGGCAGTTAAGGCATGACCAGGCCAATGCCAGAGACACGGTGGGCAGGTCTCCTGGGTGGGCAGCAGGAGCCCAAGACCTTGCATGGTCAGCCGCTGCCCGTGAGGGTGTGGACCAGCAGGGAGCCAGAACCTGAGTGAGGCACATAGGTGTGGCGTCCGACACCCCAGCTGCTGTCACAAGCCAACACGCTGACACAAGCCAGCGAGCGGATTCAGAAAAAAAAATTTCTACTATGACAAATATTAAACTACCTAAATCTCCTGGCTTGCTTTGAATCACAGTTAGTTCATGGCTAGAACTGCTTAGTGAACACCCCTGCATTACCCCCCCACACACACACACTCCCCCACCCCAGCCCATCCCTGCATTATCCCCCACACACACCCCAGCCTATCCCTGCATTACACCCCCACACACACACTCCCACACCCCAGCCCATCCCTGCATTACCCCCACACACACACACTCCCACACCCCAGCCCATCCCTGCATTACCCCCACACACACACACTCCCACACCCCAGCCCATCCCTGCATTACCCCCACACACACACACTCCCACACCCCAGCCCAACCCTGCATTACCCCCCCCACACACACACCCCAGCCCATCCCTGCATTACCCCCACACACACACACACAACTCCCACACCCCAGCCCATCCCTGCCTTACCCCCACACACACACATACACAACTCCCACACCCCAGCCCATCCCTGCATTACCCCCCCCACACACACTCCCACACCCCAGCCCATCCCTGCATTACCCCCCCCCACACACAACTCCCACACCCCAGCCCATCCCTGCATTACCCCCGACACACACACACTCCCACACCCCAGCCCAACCCTGCATTACCCCCCCACACACACCCCAGCCCATCCCTGCATTACCCCCCCCCACACACAACTCCCACACCCCAGCCCAACCCTGCATTACCCCCCCCACACACACACACACTCCCACACCCCAGCCCATCCCTGCATTACCCCCACACACACACCCCAGCCCATCCCTGCATTACCCCCACACACACACCCCAGCCCATCCCTGCATTACCCCCACACACACACACTCCAATTACATTACATACCACTCACCAGCAAATGCCAATATTTCGATTTGAACCGCTCACAAAATCAAATGTTTTTGAAGCTTACAATACCATTAGCATATTTAAGAAGTTGGCAATCAACAACTACCCCAAGGTTCAGTGTTTGCGTTTATTTTCCGATGTGTAAGCAGACCTCTGTGCTTGGTCGCATCCCCCCTGCAGCTGCACCGTCGGCTCGCCCAGCCTCCGCACAGCTCCCTCTGCTCTCCTTGTTTCTCTTGTGCATCGTTTGTATCGGAACTTGGGCACTTTTGCCCAACTTCTCGAAGTCTGTTTTTTAACATGCTCCTCTGTCCTCGCTTCTTTTTAAAAATTGGTGGTTGAGTCCAGTTCACTTGATTTGAGGTCAGTTTTTGGAAGGGAGCATAATGTGTCTCCCTCGGGCTTATCCATCAGGAGGCACATACGGGGCTGTAAGGGTGTATCTTTCCAGGACATCAGCCGCCCTTAATGACTACAGTCTCGAGTTACTCATTCATTAAGGCTGGCAGAAAAGCCCTCCAGTTCCATCATTATTTCTTCACATTTGTCAACTGAAAGATTCCTGTTTTTAAAGATTCATTTATTTGGGGGTAGGTGCTGTGGCATAGCGGGTTAAGCCACTGCCTGCAGCAGCTATTCCAGCATAGGCATGAGTTCGAGTTCCATCTGTTCCACTTCTCCTCGCCCAGCTTCCTGTTAATGCACCTGGGAAAGCAGCAGAGGATGGCCCACGTGCCTGGGCCCCTGCACCTAACTGGGAGACCCAAAGGAAGCTCCTGGCTCCTTGATTCAGCATGCCCCAGCCCCAGCCATTGTGGTCACTTGGGAGTGGGACAGCAGATGTAAGATCTTTCTCTCTCTGCCTTTCAGTACATAAAACAAATCTTAAAAATACAGCCACACGTATATGGATTTATTTACTTGAAAGGCAGAGCCACGGGGGAAAGCGGCGACCAGAGATCCTCACAGAGGATCCTTAGATGGCCTCCATAGCAAGGATGAGGTCAGGCTGCAGCCTCGAGCCTGGGACTCCATCTGGGTCTCCCTCATGTGTGGCAGGGCTCCACTTCCTTGGGCTGTCATCGTCTGGTGCTTCCCCTGGCACATGAACAGGAAGCTGGATCAGCGAGCAGCCAGAACTTGAACCAGCACTCCAATAAGGAATGCCAGCATCACGGGTGGAAGCTTAACGCGCTGTACCACCACACCAGCCTCTGAAATATTGCCGTAAGAGGAAAACCTCCCTCCAGCCCATATTTAGGACAGTTCATGTCAGGAAGCGAGAATAAATGCCTGTTTCATTTCCTTGGTTTGCAAATGTACAAAATATACTTTTTCATGTTAGATTTTACTAGTGACCAATTTTTTTTTAACGTTATCAAAAACTCAGGTATTTAAATATATTTGTTGTGTTTCACATCCTCAACGCTCACATTAACTCATCATTGACTGGCAAGAGCCTGCTAAAGTGGATCCGTTGTGAGCACTTGGAGATGGCCCTTGACTTCAGCTCAGTGCAAGCTCTCATGCCAGCAAAGTGTGGGCCATTTAAGGATTGAGCCCACTCGGGGCTGGCACTGTGGCCTGACAGGTAAAGCTGTTCCCTGGGACACCTGCATCCCATATGGGCACTGGTTCAAGTCCCAGCTTCTCCACTGCTCGGCTAGACAATGTGGAAAAAGCAAATTCCTGGGCCCGTGCCACCTGCACGGAACATCTAGATGGAGCTCTTGGGGCCTGGCCCGTCTCTGGCCGTTGCAGCCATCTGAGAGTGAGCCAGCAGATGGAAGGTCTCTGTAACTCTTTGAAGTAAATAAATCTTCAAAAGAAAAAACAGGAGAGCAGTGTAATGTCTCTGACCAAAATACAAAGCATGCTTTCCAGCAGTCATGTTATTGCCACACGTTGTTTTGTACTGCCAATCTATTTGGGCATACTTATAGGGTGCAGTGTAACCATCGGGTTCAGACTCACAATATGCCGTAACCAGCAAGTGGGTTAGCCTGGCGTTCCCCTTCCGTGTGTCCTTATACACCGCAGGTGGTTCACCCGGGGTTCCCCTTCCGCGTGGTGTCCTTATACACCGCAGGTGGTTCACCCGGGGTTCCCCTTCCGCGTGTCCTTATACACAGCAGGTGGATCAGCTTGGGGTTCCTCTTCCGTGTGTCCTTGTGCACCGCAGGTGGATCAGCCCGAGGTTCCTCTTCCGCGTGTCCTTATACACAGCAGGTGGATCAGCCCGAGGTTCCTCTTCTGCGCGTGTCCTTGCGCACCACAGCAGCGAACGCACTTAGGGCTCACCCAGTGATGCATCTGGCTTCTGTGTTTGCTGCACGCTCTCCTGAGCTGGTTGTTCTCAGGCCGTTCCTCTCTCCGGCATGGCGTGGACAGGGTTCCGGAGTCATGTCAGCCTCACCTTGTGCAAACAGCTAAAGAAGGGGTTGAGTCTTTATCGTGCTTCTGTTGCATTGGAAAGGCGGGAAGAGCGATTTCCACATTACACGTCTATAGGAAGGTGAAGTTGGAGCGGAGCGGGAGGTGTTGTTTTCAGGTGAAACGGAGTCCATTGGGCCTGCCGAGGTGTTGGGGCTTCTTTTTATTAGCACAGATGATCGCAGAG